TCTGGTCTCTTCAGTCCCTCCAAAACCTCCAGATCTGGTCTCTTCAGTCCCTCCAAAACCTCCAGATCTGGTCTCTTCAGTCCCTCCAAAACCTCCAGATCTGGTCTCTTCAGTCCCTCCAAAACCTCCAGGTCTGGTCTCTTCAGTCCCTCTAAAACCTCGGAGGTGTTGCCGCCATAAAATATAAAAATCCCTTTTTATTTTCTTATAATTTAACAATTTCTTAGGGAATAAAGTGTTTGAAATTTGCATTCCTACTTCCAGTTTTTATTTAATTTTTTTTAGATTTAGAACTGTATTTTATTAAATAGCTCTAATCCGCTGTCAGGTTCCCAGTTAAAGAACTGGTTCAGATTAAACTCTCATCAGATGTTGTTATTTTTAAGCTCTTTGTGTTGCTGCGTGTTTGCACATGCTCCTGTTTGACAGTGTGAGAACTCCGGTACTACAAACACACGGGGACAGTTCAGGAAGAGCAGGTGAATAACCTGAAGACCGTTCACTTCCCTTTTATCTGTTAGAAACCAGAGGTATGCCCCCCCCCCCCCCCTTTTTAATTTTTTGCTTCATTCCTGTCCGCGTATCTTAATCCTGCATTATTTCAACACGCACACGGATGATTGTGGGCGGGGCATATTTCCCCTGTGTGATCCCGGGCCAGAGGAACTCACCTGGTCCAGGTCCACAGGACTGCAGCGGCTGTACGGGGAGATGTCTTCGTCTTCGTCCACCTGCTGCTGCTTTTCTGTCCTTTTCTCTGCCGTCTTCCCGTTCGTCTGTTCGCTGGCTTTCTTCCTTTCCCTCAGAGTCTGAAAGAAAAGATTAGAAAACAGAAACAAGTTATTTTCTCAAGTTTTTATTCTTTAATGTAAACATTATCACTGCGTCCGTAACTGTTTTAACTTGATTAAATGTTGCAAAATGAGCAACGACACAAAGGTATTAATGCAGCTGCACAGACTTGTACTCTAAGGTGTGATTTACAGTTAGAAACAGGTGTGGTGACCGAGCCCCTCCCACCACAGTCACACCTGTCCCTTTACACGACAAATCAAACATTTTTACAAACAACATAATTTGTGTCATATGTAGTAAAAATGTTTACAGTTATTTTTGGTCTAGGGTGATTTACATCTTAATTAAAAGGTATAAAAATATAACGATACGCTGAAATATCGTGATATTTAATTTCCTGATAATGTATCGATTCTTAAAAACACTTCATTTTTTATTAAGTCTTAAAGTGCCTGTGACATGCCTATTCATCGAATACAAAAAGTCAAAGAAAATACATTTTTATATAAGAAACCTTGCATAAAACATGTGATTTTACTCATTTTATCACATAACTGGCACATTTTATTTTGAACTTGGCTCAGCCAAAGTGCAACAGGAAGTGACATCAAAGGCGAACTCTTTAAGAGAGCGAACTCTCTGGTCTTTGTTTATTGAAACAATATTATTTGAACTCTGACTCGTCTTCATCTCTGATACTGACTCAAAATAATGTAAAGAAACATCAGATTCTTCTCTACAGTCTGTGTCGTTAGCCATTTTATCAGTGCTTTGTTCCATGTAGACGTTCACCTCTGACATCACTTCCTGTTCCTTCACATGCAAATATCTCAACAACTGTTCATCTCAGCAGTGGGAAATTATTTGTGCAATATGTTAATATTGTTATCTAAGAAGAAATGTGAAATACAAAAAGTTCCCACAGAGCCTTAAAAAGCCTTAAAAGGCATTGAATTCAATCAAAAAAAGAAGGCCTTAATTAACCTTAAAAAGTCTTAAATCAATTTTTCAGAGGTCTTAAAAATGTTGACACATTGTAAGTAGGATGATTAATAATTGGTAACATTTATTTATTTTCTTAAATAATTTACAGATTTGTTTGTGTTAAAATTGTTGCTGTTTTTTCCATTTGTGTTTATTGTGAAGCTGGTATTAAACTTAATTTCAAGTGGAACTAAAAAGACTTAAGTCTTAAATTTTATTTAACCCTGAAATGTATTTAGTGCTCTTCATTCTGCTCGTGATATTTCAACATACCAATATTTTCTAAGTTAGCTTCTTTAAAAATAAAAGCTTTCAGCTGTTTTTGGATGTTGGGAATCATTTTTGTTTACCAAAACTACAGCAAAGATATTTCACTGAGCTATTAAAATGTTTTTTTCTTTGATTTTTTTTTAAGTTAGAGCAAAATATTGAATAAAATCCAAGAGAAAAAACACCAAATAGCAGCTGTGACCCAGCAGAACTGCACTTGTTGCTTCAGGATGACGTGAGTGAGACGGTGTTTCACCACAGAGTTACAGTACGCCGTGTTAGTGTAAAATCACATGACGCCGCTTCATGATCGGGTTCTGGGAGCTTACAATCCAGTTAGAAGCAAACAAACAAAAAGAAATCTGAACCAAGATCTGCTGAAAAAAAAAACCTCATCATAAATTCAGTCCGACCAGGTTTTAAAGTCTTTTAAAACAACAACACGCCTTTTTGTCACACTAACTGAAACAGATTAAAGCTGGAACAGCATCAGATTATCTTTAATCTGCAGTGCCGCAGCTCATCCTCAGGTCTGCGGAGTTAAATATTTATCAGGCTGCTGGTGTGAACCACGTGTTCAAGGTCTTCTGTGGTTTGTTATTGACATCAGCTCCGACATTTAACACCTATTGTTGCAACTTTATACCATCGCAACTTCACAACATGCAGAGGATTAAAACCAAAAGACACAAGCTTCGTCAGAATATCAAAGGATTACATAAAGTTGCTTAATCTACACTCTGATGTTTGATAAATGGAAGATATTTGGTTCAGTTTGGACCAATCAGAACCGGAAGGAGAGGTTTTGTTTCATCATCTGACCCATCAAACCAGAAACAGACAGAACTGGACTCAAATCACTCATGCTGATGAAGACTAATGAAACATGGATCCACAAACATATCCATTAAAGTTGCCGTGACATACCCATCCTCAAATACAAAAAGTCAAAGAAATTATCTTCATATTTAGGAAAACCAGCATAAAACACTAGCCTGGCCCTTGCCTTCCTACGCAGTTGCGCTCACTTCTAGTTTCCCTTCACTGCTCCGTCTGGGACTTCTCCCATAGACAAGGATTTCTTCGGGAGCATTTCGTCCGGGCCAATCAAAGAACAGAAAATCAATTTTCTGCGCAGTGTCTGCTTGTAGTTCATTTTACCTGGGCCAATCAGCAAACAGAAGGTGAAGTTTTGAATGGTGTCAATTTTCTAAGCAGTGTCTGCTAGTTATTTTAGCATACGGCAGTGGAGGAAGTGAATGAAGCCAGTCCGTGTTGATAAGACTTCCAAATTAAAATAAATTTGTCTGACAAAGCAGCAGCTCTCATTTACAGTCGTCTCGCTCGGCTCGGTACTTCTCTCCTCTCAGTAGGGTTGTTTACAGCGCACGCAATTTCCGGTTAGCTTCTTAGCTTAGCCTCCTTCACAGCGGAGCTGGCACTTGTGGCCAACTGATCCAGTCGTTTTAAAACTTCAACAGAGGCCACGCCTCCAGCAAGAATCGCTTTCTATAGCCGAGGTTCCAGACCCTCGTCCGATGCGAAGTGAAGGACAAGGGTCTGGTTTTTACCAGGCTAATAAAACACATGATTTAACCCATTTTGTCACATAACTGGCATATTTTCCTTTGAATTAGGCTCAACTAAAGTTAAACAGGAAGTGACCTCAAAGGGGAACTCTTTAAGAAAACTCTCTGGTCTTTGTTTATTAAAACAATGGTTTAAACTCTGACTTTTCTTCAGGGACTAAAATTAACTAAAGAAACAAAAGAAAATTCCTTGCTGCCTGTGTTGTTAGCCGTTGTAGCAAAGCTCTGTTTACATGCATTCCCCTTTGACATCACTTCCTGTTACTTCACGTGCAAATATCTCAGCAACTGTTCCTCTCAGTGGTGTCAAATTTCTTATGCAACATGTAATTAATGTTATCCTTCCAAAAATGCATTCGCATTTATCACAAAAATTTGATGTCACAGATACTTTAAATGATGCAACTACATCAAGGCAAAACAAAAACCTCGATCATACGCCCATCTAACAATAATTTACACATCAAAAAAACATGAATTTAACTTTGTGATAGAGAAACATCGTATCATCATCTAATCCAATTGATCTCATTGAGATAAAGCTGTTTTTTTTACACCCCTAACGACCACATAATCTGAAGGAATACAGGAAACTATATCCGACTACTAGGGCTGTGTATTGGCAAGAATTTGGCGATACGATACATATCATGACAGAGGGGTCACGATATGATATATCCCGATATATTGCGATACTGTAAGCAAGGCGATATATTGTGATTTTTTTGGACCAAAAACCCTGTTAAATAAAAACCTCTTACAGGGGAAAAAAATGGAAAACCAAAATTCATTGTCTCAGAAAATTCTAATATTACATAGACATACTTTTGATACATTTAGCTGTGTTCTGCTTTGTAAGTATTTTATTTTATTTGTTTCATATTTCTTATTTCATCCATGTTTTCGATTATCAGACTAAATTTGCCAATAAATAGGTTGAAAATATATTTTTTGCAGCTTTTAATTTTTAATATTAATTTACAATATGGTCACCCAACACTTAATAATAGCCTCTACCTCAAGAGGTAGAGTAGCCAAATGGCTGGCTCACTGCTGCCAACTAGTGGTCMGAGGCTGAACTACAACATAAAAATGAACGGCTGGCAGGAAAGTTGACATTTTAAACCTTAATAAAAAAATCGATACAGAGCTTTAGAATATCGATACAGTATCGGGAAATGAAATATCGCGATATTTCAGTGTATCGATATTTTCTTACACCCCTACCGACTACGGCATCAGTGCGACAAGTTTCTCCTCGGAAACGGTTAAAACTTTTCTTTTGGTCTTATCTCCATTAAAAAAAAACTTTAATCTTTTAGATCAGACAATAAAATAAAAAGGAAGTCACAGAAATGTTACCAGACGTTTATCAGACTTCGCCTCAAAAATTCTTCTTCTGTCTCAAGTTGGAGGAAGAAAGTTGGTAAAAAGAGAAAGAAAAAACAGCAGATCTAAACACGAGACAATCAGAACCCTCTCTGAAGGTCTGCAGAACTATTCTGGACATCCTGATGATAAAATCTCAAGCCTCACACCTACGAACAACCGACCGACCTAGTTTTACTGCAGTCTAACTAATGTTTATCACAGCTTCAAGGTCCATGCAAGCCAAGGATATATCAGTTAAAATGAGATAAAGATGTGTCCAAAATGGCAGGCCGGGTCCTCCAAAGGACCTGCCTACCCAGTCAAGGTAGGCCGGGTTCTTGGTAGACCGGGAAGACCAGGGAAAAAGTGTCTGAATTTGGACGGTCTAGCCTCCCGTCTTTACCCAGGTGTACGTCTAGTCGCCTATATCAACTGTGACAACGCTAAACAGAAGCAAACTTAGATCAAATTAGAAAAATATCAATTTGTTAGCGTTATTAATATCACAAAACAATAAAATTTACTTGAAGAATAAATGGACCCACCGTAGGTGCATGTTTATTTCGCCATATAAGTTCGGGTTTTTTTCTGACAAAAATAATTCAAAAACACGTCTATACCAATTGTCCTGGAGCTAATACTTTTAGGTTTAAGCCAGTCATGATATCCTTTAATGACCTAAGTTTTCATGACATGCTCTTCATCTGCAGACTGAATGATTAAAGTCAGAAGAAGATTTGCTAACAACAATCATTCTTATATCACTTGTGTTAATCTTTGTATTTTCCCTTGACCTTGTA